TCTGTCTAGACATACAAGCCTTTCCTTTAGGTTGCCAGACTGCGCGTATTTCAGATTTGAACTCCCGCCCCAATATCGGTGTTGAAAGAGCTCTGTATATCAGAAATCCCCCAGAACAGTTTAGAGATGGGCTCACCTGTGATCAGTGGGAGGGAGACTCTAAAGTAGCTGTCAGAGAAAAAAATCTTGAATCCAAAAATGGAGAAAACCTTTCAGTCAGCTTAGCAAATGGTAAGGTATGGGAGAGTTTGCAAAACAAGAAGAAACCAGTGAAATAGCTGTTATGTAACAGCAATTAACTTCCTTAGCTGATCTTACTTGTTAATTTACTCAGGTGGGTGGCAAAATATTGTCACTAGAAGTCATATGTCCTGGGGTGATGGAAAAGTGTATGAGCAGGAGGCAATTAAATGGTTGTAAAAGGGTTGGGCAGAATATGACACAGTGCCAGCTTCAGCTAATGAACCTGCCTAAATTTATGGCAGGATAAAACATGTTAATTTATGGGTCATTTGAGTTCTCAAGTGACAGGTCAGATCTGTGGAGTGGCAAGCATAACATCATTATTGAAATATGCATTGGCAAGCATTGTGAGATGCCCTTATGTTAATAACATTTAGATTTATAAGCAGTTCTGGATGATAACAAGTGGCTGTTCAGTCAATTGAATGAACACAGAGAAGTGACTGGAGGCTGGGTTACTGGCACGGGGTCAAGGCACTCCTGGGCGGGTGGGACATCTCTCCATCCATAAAAATTTTTGTTTGTTACTTTTGCTCTGGCCCTCTGAGAGCTCAGAGCAGAACTCCACTGACCTATGAAGTTCTGCTTCTGTGCCAAAGTATCTCCATCAGCCCTTTCAGCTGCACAGCACCCATCCCACACCAGGCCTGCCGGTATTGCCAGAGTCGAATTCTCAGCACATCTGTCTGAGCAGGACACAGGCTCAGCTGAGGGAGCACCAGGGCCCTTCTCTGCTCTTTGTTTTCCTTTCCTCTGCTGGAGCTGTGGATGGCTGTGCTGAGCACGGGTGAGATCCCAGAGGCACTTTAAGGATTCAGGGTAAAATCTTGTTCCAGTGAAATCAATGGGAGTTTTGCCATTGACTTTGGTGGGGCAGGACTTCATTCATAAAGTGTTGACTGTTATAATAGATTTACCAGCCCTGCAGGCAGCCCATGCAGCAGTGTAATAGATCTGGCACTCTTGCTTCTAGAAATGAATCCCCTGGCTCAGGCCAAGGTCTGCAGAGAGCAACTTCCCTGCGCCAAGCCCTTCATCTGGGAAACCTCCCACCCGATACTCCGCTGTGAGCCTGGGCGCGAGTGGGGCTGACCTGTGCCTCCACCACAGGAGGATGACCATTCATGCCACCCTGCTCTCAGAAAAGCCAGAAGTCCCATGCAGGTGCAGCCCAGGTGGTTCTGCATTGCAGTGAGCTGGTCCCTCGAGCAACAGCAGCAAGGGTGGACTTTTCTGGCTTGAGCCGTGGCCAAGCTGTCCCTCAGCAGCCTCAGCACAAAGATGGCTCAAGCCACCCTCTGAGCCAGCATCTGCACAGGCAAAGGGATGAAGTCTGGCTCGTTACAGGGCCAGGATGCTGCTGTAGCAGCCAGCACTGAACCTGTGCTACAGCTGCAGAGAGGGCTGTGGTCTCAGTGCCTGCCGTGTGTGCTGCCCCGGCGGGATGGTCACTTTATTTAAAAAGAAAAAAAAATGAGAGAGGGAATCCTGCTCCATTGTCCTACTGCAAGTGGAAAAGGGCTGAACTAATTCAAACCAAACTCGGAACAGAAACTCCTCCCAGGCGGAGGCATTTTTCTGTCAAGTTTCAGCCCTGGGAGAATTTTTACAGCTGAGCAATAAACTCTAGAAACAGAGGTTAAGGGCCTCACCAGCTCCAGGCTCCTAATACAGGGAGCAGCACAGAGCAATGGGCACTCTGTAGGAATGTGTCAGGCTGATGGGTAGCTGCACTTACTAGGGAAAGAAGGGGGTTAATTACCATAATTGCCCAACAAACATTTCCTAATATTGTCACTTTTTGCCCACAAGTTACAATTTCTGTTACTATAGAGGCAAGATGTTGATACTGGATTCATTTTCTGGGTTTTATTCCTTTTTGTCATTTTTCCCATGAACTAATAAGCCACAGTGGATTTGAAAGTATGAGCAAATGTGAACACTATACAAAGCACTTTTATGTTCTATTGACATTTTCTTCCCACCCTAATAATTTAGAGCTGTTAACATTAAAAAAAAAATAAGATGATCATACTTCCCATCACTTTCATTTCCCAAGTTTATGAAGGAAGAATTGTGAGTAATTTCCCATAGTTATTGTTTGCAGCACAACACATGGTCTCAATTACTGGGATAAGAAACATAGAGAGAGTACTGGTGAGGATAAATGATTTATCTGTGCATTTCATTCAAAATTCATTTTCCATGCCATAGTTTATATTACTCTGATCAACCATCATCTTTTTCATTTGACTTTATAAACATAATCCAAGTATTCTGAGCAGGACCCCGGGTCACAAGAGATCAGTTTGCTGACATATTTTTGGAGCAGTAAAGCACTTGCAGAGTGGCTCTCCACCAGACAAACGTACCTTCTGCTAAAAGTATCTGCCCAACAAGGGCACATCTGGACAAATCTAGACTACTAGGATACAAAATAACGCTTGGATTTGATTTTTGTTCTCATTTTCAAGAAAAGAAAAAGGGAGAACAGCTAGAATCGGGACCCATTCTCACACAGGACATAATTCCATGCAGTTTCTTTCTGGCACTTGGAGGTTCTTCACTTGCCTTTGCACCACTGCTGCCTTGAAAATGCCATTTCTGCCTGAAGGACCTGCCTGGCTGCAGGTCCATGGCTGATCTCCTGCGTGGGAGCTGTCCCAGGAGCAGCTGTTCTGGTTGAACCTCCTGGTGCTTTGCTCCCGCTGCTCAAGTGGCAGACAGGTACCATGGACGTGACTGTGTTGAACCAGCGTGTGCTGTGAAGAGGCAACCTCAGCACAGGTCACAGCAGCTCCGATGTGGCACAGGAACCACATTTATTGCTTCAGGACTTGATTGTTGCAGTCGATTTGAAGAGTGTGCTACTGCCTGGCTGGGACAAGCTGGTGGCACTGCTGAGACTGACAGCAAATGAAGTTTGGTTACTTGCAGATTTTGCAGGGACAGGGGTTCAGCTGACAACAAAAACAGCATTTCTTTTACTTTTTGCTGGTGCTCAAAGACAAAGCTGCTTCTCTTGCAGGACTGCTCCTGGTTAGAGATCATGCAGGACATGAGATATTTAATGCTCAGGGGGCTGGTGGGAAGGTCCCCCTGCATAAATCCTTTACCAATACTCTGTTTTATAAATAAATTCTAGGCTGGGCTGTGGGGAACCCAAGACTGTGCTTTTTGTTAGCACAAATGAGCCCAACACAAATAGTTGGTCCTTTTCACCAGAGGGTTGTGCAACTCCTACCTGACTTGGCCTTCAACCTGAGCCTGGTGGTCAAGTTGGGCCACACAATTTCCTCCCATGGTTTTTTCTGTGCTGCAGAAAACATTTTTGTTCCCAACATATTTTGGGATATAGGAGTGTGTAGCCTGTGTATGGGTGACAACAGGATCTTTAATAAATTCAGTCTCCTAAATCACATAATCATATTATGGGGCAAGTACATAATGGGCAGATTCACACAGAGATGGCTTTGTTGAAGAGTGAACTTTTGAAAGAATTTTGCTTCCTGGTTCCTTACCTTTGCTCTGAGCACATGTGTAGTGGATTTTTTTTCAGCCTTTTTTTTTTTTTTTATCTCTCTTTCATTGCTGGGTGCTGCTTTTGGTTTTAATCCAGGAAACACAGACAGGATAAATGATTTAAAAATAAAGACCAGGTCTCCTCAGGATCTCCCCCCATCTCTCACCAAAGTGATTCCGCACCACACAGCACCTCTCATGGCCTGAGATTCCCCTTGGGATTCTCTAGATCTGGCCTCGTGGTGTATCACAACCACATCTCACCTCTGTGGTGCTGAGATGTAAGAGCTCTACTAACAGACAGAGGATCTCTGAACTTTACATTCTTCTGGGGCTTCTCCCCAGTCCTGTGAGGACACTGAGATCTTGAAAAAGTACTGGGACAGAGCAGATTTGAAACTTGGAGGCAAAAAAATTATAGCAAAAAGCATTTAGTGAAGGGGATTTATGCCTTTGGCAAGTACAATTCAAACGTGGAACAGGAAATCTGTTCAATTCTGTCTTGATCACCTACCTTCTTTTTTTAATTCAGTAAATGAGGAATTGTCTTTAAGGCCTTATTAATCTCCCTGCAATACTTGCTGAAGTCTCATAATGGTCTGGACCTAATGGGCCTTGGATTTTTTTCTCTGTGGTTCATTTGGCAACCCCTTCCCCCCCACAGCCCTGTGTGCTGCTTTACAGCCCTTCCTGAAGTGCTGGTTGGCTCAGGAGTGCCAGCCCAGGGGGCAGCCGTGCATTAGAGCTGGCAGCCTTGTGCAGTGGCTACCACAACGTCACGTGGCTGTTGCTTCACACCAAAAGTCTCCTCTCTTCCAGTTCCCTGTTGTTTCAGCTTTGCATGATGCCATTACAGACTGACAGTGCAGTTCCCTTCGTATTCCTTGTCTGCTCTCCGCTGGCATCTTCCTCCTCTCTTCCTGCCCATCCCTCCTATCACATGTTCCTCCAAACAACAGCAAATTGTGCTATCACTCTCTCCTCTGGACCCAGCACTTACATTCCCAGTTCAGCTGTTCATATTTTGCCTGATAGTTGAATCCAGCTCCTGCTCAAGTGTTTTCCATCTACAGTTTATGTTTGATGCAAAAAGAATCAGGTGATAAAGGGGTCTAATGGTGATACATAATTTTTTTATTTAAAAAGACAACTTTATATCTGAAGATCTCTTTAAAGTGCCTAAATGAATCTAAAGAAATCTGCCTAAGTGTTTTCAGCTCTTTTCCATCCTTAAGGTATCTGTGCTGTGGCAGAGGTGGCAGCACTGAAAACTGAGACCTGTAATCCTGTTGGGCACCTCTGGATGGGGAGAAGTGGCACCACGTGGCTCTGAATCTCAGCAATTCAGGTAGGAAGCCCATTTCTCTACTATGTGCTTGGCAGTGAGCCATGTTTAAATGCAATATGGGCATGGGGACCATTGGTCCTGTTCCCTGGACTTATTAATTCCCTTGTTAGCTGAATTTACTCCTCAAAATGCAAACACACAGTATGGGCTGGATCTTTGTTGCATAAGCCAAACCTAAAGTCAGTGCACTCCAGCATGGAAATTGCACATGCAACTTCAAATTAAGAGTCTGGGGAAGGTTTAATTGTTTGGAGGATTTAGTGGAGCAGCACAAACCACGTGAGATGCTGGCTGGCCATGCATGGCATCAGCTGCAGTGGGGGGAACAGACCTCAGTGCTAGTGCAGCACAACAGGCGTGTGCTCATTGTGGTGCAGGGCTTTGGGCATCCACACTGGGAACCAGTTTCTGCACAGTTTGTCTTGGGATTCACCTCTTTGCTCTGATTGTTTTGATTTTATGGTCAACATGCAAAATCAAAGTGAAATTCAGCCAAAGTGCCAAGATTTCCTGGTTACAGGTTGAACTGAAGCAAAGAGTCCATGGTTTGTATGGTTTCAACCTAAAATCATAAATCATCTGTTATTCACCTAAAATTTGTTCCAAATTTACTCAAAAGTTGGCCTCAATTTGCCTGAAACTTGGCCCAGGATTGCTTGAAACTGAGCCCAGCTTCAGAGAGAGGTTCATGAACCTCCACAAACCTGGCCTGAATCTTGAGTTTGTAATGAAACCCAAAACCAGGGGAGTTTCACCTGGTTTGGGTTTGGTTATAGACATTTCTCACAGCTCTAGTATTTGTTATGATTACAATAACAACACACTTATACAGAGCTGCAAGCACACACACACAACTCTGCAAAGTGAAAAAGTCCAGACAGTTTTCCTACCTGTCCAAGCTCCCCGGCTCTGTCACTGCAGCCACAGTCACACACAGGCCCAGACGGGCTGCTTAATAATTTTTCCTAGATTGTCACAGACCAAAAAAAACCCCCTAAAATCACTCTGAAGCACCTCACACAGGAATGACAGGGATAAAGAATCAACCTCCAAAGAAAACTAAGTGGTAGCCCTGTTTTCTGGGCAGGTTGATCCAGCAGCCTGAGAGATGAGCCAGGCAAGCTGGCAGAGCCCAGATCCTGCTCACCAGCAGTGTCACTTTTGATCATCTCCAAGCAGCCTGCTGACTTGTACTTACCCAAAATCTTTCTTTTCTAGTACAAAACTACTAGGTACTGACATTTTTTTTTTTTTCTTTAATACTGGTGCTGTTGCATCTGCAGTGGCAGCGTTCTGGATGGTGTACCTGTGGGGAGAGCCACTCCAGGTGCTGTGTGCTGGGGCACAGGGACACGCTCCTGACTTTCTGAGGAGTGTGGGGAACAGCCAGGGCTCCAGCAGGCTCCATCTGGGACACATTTTAGTGCACAGGGGCCGTTCTCATGGCTTTTTGCCTGCTGGGGCTGTCACAGCTGATGAGCCCCTGTGGCTCCTCGTCCTCTTCTCCAGGGACACCTCAGCACTTTAGGATTGCTCCTGGCAGAAGGGCCATTGCCTATGGGCTCTCCCAGCCCAAAACATCTGGTTCTCAGTTTCTGTCCTGTAAAACAAGGATGACAAACACATCCCGACCTCACAAGGGTGTAGTGAGACACTCACATCCTACAGCCTTGGGAGTCATAGAGAAGCTCATAAACAAACAAACCTGCAGATGTGAGAGCCAAGCCAGGGAAAGGGCTGGGCCTGCACTGCCACCACATGCAAGGGAAGGGCCCAGCCCAAGAGAGGGAAAAATCCCTTCCTGGGTGCTTAACAAAGGTTTATCACAGAGTGAGTTTAGCCTGGAAGTACCGAGATGCAGTTATCTGTCTAGACTCTTCAGAAAGAACACACACATTTCTATGGGTGTGTGTCTAAGCAGGCTGAGGACTCAGTGTACACTCACAAGCATCAGTAACACGTTGGACCGGCTGGCACCAGCACGGGGCTGCAGCTCAGCTTTGCCCACACGCTCCCGCTGGTCAGGCAGCCTGGGCCTCCATGGCTGCTTCCTGCCATTGCTGTGCTGCACAGTTAGAAACAGAAAGGAGAGCCTGAAATACAAAAACAAACACTTTGGTGACCTCTTGGTCTCAAGGTTCTTCTCCTGAACTCAATGGGAAGTTCATAACCGAGAAGCTGGCTTGGGCGTGATGTTCCTCAAAAGCATTTGTTATGAGGGTGTGAAATATTTGGCAAGTTTTAAGGACAGCAGAAGCAGATCGTTGGAATTTGTCAGAGCTGAAGTCATCAACGTCTTCAAAGCTTTTGCTGCACAGAAAGAGGGTCTCATCTTCGGGCAAACCAAAGCACACAGCCCACTCCAGAGGGAGCGGGTGTGGCCCTCAAAGTCTCTCCAGAAGCCCCAGTGGCCTTGGTGAAGCACACAGCGAGTGGGGCCACACCACAAGAACCCTGTTGCTAACCATCTGCACCTGTCTGGCACCAGCAGCACCCCTGCCTGCTCCTGTCCCTCTGCAGGGATGGCTGCTGGGTGCTGCAGTACCCACATGGAAATCTGCAAAGGACAACTCAGGAGAAGCACAAGGCACCAGGGCTGGTGCAGCACCACTGCATGTGACCGAAGCAGAACCCACGTGCGCTTAGGTGTTTTGAATGACTGCAGCATTCTGCCCTCTCCCCATTTCTTTTCCTCTTGCTACTACTGCTACCTCTGTAACAGTACCAGTAGTAGCAAGATTGACTTTTCATTAGTGTAAACGATGGTGTATTTTGCCCCAAATTACAGCTTTCTGCTCGCCATTCTTAAGTTTCCACAGCATCCAGAACCAGCATGATCCTGCAGGTTAATGTGACATCCTGGACCTCTGGCACCCACGCACAGTTTGCACACAGAGCCCCTCCACGCAGCCGTGTAACCACAGGAGCTCGCGCAGGGTCTCTGCAGGCATCCAACACTCAGGCCACAGGCAATAACTAGGAGCTCTGGGATTTTCTGAACACAAGAGTTTTAGCCAAGTGCTATCCTGCCAAGACTGTGATAACATGAGGGCTTACTCTGGGCAAATACTCTGGTAGGACATTGCCAACCCGGATTTACTGGATTAATCGGGTGTACATCATATCTTGGCCTTCGCTTCTGGCCGCTCCTGCACACAGAAAACCTAAAAGACTTGCTCTGGGGAGAGGGTGAAGTAGATAGAATCTTGGGTCCAGACATCCTAGCTTTTTGAAGCTGGTGTCTCCTGTTAGCTCCTGTCCTACCTGGCAGCACAGGGCAGCTGGGGGGCCCTGAGAGGGGTACACAGCTCCTGCAGCTCCGGCCTCATCCACTGCCGAACTCTGGCTTCCCTTCCAGAACTGAAAAGACAAGATTTTCTCATCACAGCAGTGAAGTAAGAGAAGCTGTCTCCTCCCTGACTGGTGTCTACTCAGAAAGTAGCAGCACAACGTAAGCTGTTAACCTTGCTAATTTTGGCAGAAACCATCAGACCCACAAGAGTACTCTGAGGCTTTAATGGTTCAAGTACAGCATCAGTTTAAAAGGAGAATCCTAAAAATTCCTTCACAGCCAATGTCAATTTTTAAAAGGGGTGAGAAGGCTTTTGCAGTGCCAGTGCCACCACCTCCAGCTTGGTCTAGAGCAGTGGGTTTGGTGCCTTGTGATGTGCTTACCTGTCGTGGTGCTGCTGGCAGAGACTGGCAGTGCTCAAACCTGGGCCCAGGAAGGTGTAGGCAGCTGCTGGACAAGGGCCATGGCATCGTGCTCTCCAAACAGCTCAGGCCTGTCTGTGCTGAGAAGTCTTGACCTGATTAGCTCTTCCAAAGCACAAAGCTGAACTTGAATCACAGCGTAAAATATTTATCTTAGAGAAAACCTGAGTATGACCCTTCAGGACCTGCTGTAAGAAAGCAAACACTTGGGGTCCTTTGAAAGTCAGCTTAAAAGGGAGACTGGAAACAGCCCTGTTCTGCCAAAATACACCTCGGCTGTCCAGTTTACACGATACTGTTACAACACACAACAAGAGAATGATTGGGTTTGTACAGTAACAAGCCATCTCTGTTAACCAAAAATTACAATTATCCATGCATGCACCTATGCAGAGTCACATGCACAACTGCAGTGGAGGGAAGGCACAGTTATTTCAAATAATTAAACACTTTGCTATTTCCTTGAATTTGAAATATATCCTGTAATTGCAAAAGGATGCATATTTACAAAGACCTCCACTTCTGTCTGTCTAGTGCTTAGAGTCATTCTGAGATCCCACTATCAAATACAATACAGGAGATTATTTCAAAATCACACTGTAAGTTACAAACCACTCTTTATTTGCATGTCTCACGCGATGTTATGCAACCTTTGTGCTTCACTGAGCCTCTAAGGAAGCTGCAGAAATTCAAACTTATGCAAATAATTGTATACATACAGCAGCTAAAACTGATAGGCAAAAACAACATACCAGTTAAACGGCACCGCCGCAAAGAGGCAGGTGAATAATTGCACAAGAAAATGGATTTTTACGTGCTGATTGGTACAGCAAGACTGGGCTTTCCATTTTCACATCACTAAAAGCGCTGCTGTCAAGATTTCTTGTTTCTGCAGAGTAACAAAGGCAATTTGCAGAACTGTGCAGGCAACACTGGGGCTGCTGGAACACAATCAAAGAACCTTTGGCATCATACGGTGTTATACAGAGCTTAAACGTAAACCAACTCTACTGGACAGAGGCCTGAAAGGTCTTTCTGAAATCGTTCTTCACAGTTCCTCTCAGTGTTTAAGGGCTGAGAGAAAATACTTAAATTGTACTCTTAACTATAAACCATACCATCGTGCACACTGGCACTGAAAATCACTTCCAACCTGCTGAAATAAAAGTGCCATTTACAACTGTAAAGTTCTGATTATATCTCTCCATAGTTACAGAACATGTGGAAAAAAATACACTGTTCAACATTTTGGCACACTAATAAATAAAATCCAGACATGGTCTATT